CTTCAACTCCCAGAATTCCCCAGCCAGCAGGGAGTTGAAGTCCACACGTCTTAAAGTTGCCAAGGTTGAGAAACACTGCTCAATAGGACTATCCAGGGAGGGAGGGAGGGAAGGGAAGGGAATATTTTTAAAAGAAAAATAAAAACCCCAGACTGAATTCCTCATATGCAAAAAATGTCTCCTACTTAGAATCCACTTTCATTACTCATTAGAGGTGCTAAACATGGATGAAGCAGCCATGGTTATGTCTTTAAGCTAGGTTTCCTTCCACAACCTTTTCCATGATGCAGCAAACTTACAAAACCAGCCAAGTGCAAAAAGATGCTTAGCTTGAACCAAAGGCGGGTAAGGCAAGACGCGAAAGAGATATAAAATCATGCATGGTATGAAAATACAGACACAGAGAAATGTTGCTCCCTTTTTCACCAAGGTAGACCTCAGAGTCATCCATTCAAGCTTATCCGCTAAAATTAGATGTAGGAAGATCTCGATATAAGGAAAGACTTTTGTACTCAGTGCACAGAGTGTGCGTGAAACCGACTGCCATCAGGGGCAGTGCCTGCCCCAAATCTTCATGGTTTTAGACAAGGTCTGGAGAAGTCACCACCAATCAAGTGACTCAAGGGAGTCTTCATCTTTCTTATCTCTGTAACTTCTTGCTCTCCAAATGTGCTGGACCAACTCCCAACAAAATCAGCATGAATTCCAACACATCTGGAGGACATCAGGTTGGAGAAATTTAGTTTAGGGAGACAGCTCAATCTCCATGAGCTTCTTAGCGCACTTAGTAAGCAACAATGAATTATAGCATTTCTGCCCCACCAGTGGCACCGATTGTGCATATGGACCATTGTGCTACAAATGAAATTGCTCCTTCTAGCTAATCGTCCAGAATGAAATATTTCATAATCGTAATTCCAGACTTTAGAGCCTTATGTTAGGTGCCTTTCAAACTTTTCACTACTTATATAGTTAGCAATGCACTGTGTTTGTAGCCACATGATTCTGGTCCATAAGTCACACACCTGCATTTGGGGATCCATCACTATTCCCCCACCATCACATAATGAAGTCACTTTTCCCACGGAAATATCATCATCATATTTTCCCGTCAGCATCCATCTGGATCTCTGGCATATAACTTGGTGGTCCTGAAAAGCTCATTTTACATTTTTAAAGAAAAATGAAGTATCCAAACTATAGGCCTTCTGACATCAACTTGAAAATACCAGGACAGAATCTTCAAAGAGACTGAAAGATGAATGGAGGAACAAAATTCTAGTTAATAGATGAACCTTAACGACATCGTGCAGAACTCCACATTTCTTCCATAGGGCAAGGAAGAGCAGAATAAATTATACAAAAAAGGCAGACTGAATGCATTTGCATAATAAATTCATCACATTCCATATGCTCATATGGAAGCTGCATGGTATTTTCTCAGCATTTGGCCTGGGTTACCTTGGTGAGGGATTTATTTTTAGCAACCCAACAATTTGATCCCTGAGAACTTTTGCAAAACTCTAGCGAGGCAGAGAAACAAAGCCTCCAGGCATTCTCGCAATAGATCCAATTAAATCATTGACTACAATTGCTTAGAGACTCATTTTCAAAAGGGAGGAAGGGAGGCACCTTACCAAAAAAAAAAAAATCACTCAAACCCACACACGGAAGTAGCTTTTGTGGAAAAAAATAGACGGGACAGGATCAAACTCAGATCAAATACATGTTTATCTCTATAAATCAGCTAGTATAAATCAGATCTCTGGGGGAGATGGGC